TAAGTTTTATCTGGCACCTTGGGTTTCTCTGATACTATTTTCTTGTGATTTATTTTCCCTTGAGTTTTGGTATACTCTTGGCTTATTTATCTTCTTGTGGCTTTAATCCAAAGGGACGCAAACATTGTATTGACTTCTTTATGTCAAGTATTGGATTCTTATTTGGTTAGAATGTTCCCAACCTAACTTTTACTTTCCTGTACATGGGATACTCTCTTAATCTCCTCCCATTCTTCAATTTTCAAAACCTTCTCATCTTTTTTTCAAAACCTTCTTTGTTTCCTAAACTTTAATTGCTTTCATAATAAACATTGACTTTGTCAAGCGACTTTTTTCTCAAACTTCTTTTTTTGTATCAAAACTGAAAACACTTAATAAATAAAGATGTGAATCGTATGCAGTTGAGTCTTTTGGGGTAGGATGAGGCGGTACATAGTTAACCTTGTTCTTTCTTCCATTTCCTGAATTTATTACGATTCAATTCACAAATCTTTTCATAAATAAGTGGAGAAGTAGTAAATGTTCCTCTCGTGGAATTCATTTGCTATTATCCCAACAAAAATACTTCAACTCATTCAAACCTGTTTGTGCCTCGCACACCTTTTCCCTTTAAAACCTTTTTCAAGATTAGGCATGAGTCATTCATAGTCGAGATGTTATTTTCCAATCCATGCGGTTGTAAAGATGTCGACTTTTCCACTTGAGTACTAGTGGTGTTCTCAAACCCTCACTCATGCTGATGCATTGTCCCTCTTTCGTATACCCTGTGGGCGATTAGTTGAGAATTATCTCCTAAAAATGACGACTTTTCTCTTCATTTAAAAAAATCAACAAACCTAGTTTTGTTCTTTTCTAGCCGAACTACGATGCTCTGAATTTCCCAATGCACGAGGGAGTACGTAGGCACTAGGTCCCACGACCAAAGGCGAGCGCAATAATAAAAAAAAATTCTTTTGTTTGCAAATATTCTTTCATTCATTCCCTTTAGCAAGTTTATGCTTTAGATAATACACTCACTGATTAGAAAAAACAAAGTGGATCCTGCAGAGTACCGTAGATGCTTAGGGTGCTAATACCTTCCCTTTGGAAACAATAAAGTGCGGTGGCGACTTTCATTGTGAGTTAAGTCAATCAATGACTTAGTCTTAAATATTTACCATTACATTTTCGCATTATAGTGCGATAGCTTGGAGACTTCACTGGGAACTCTTTCCTAAGTGGGTCAATCCTAGCTTTGTTTGTCTCTTTTCTTTGAGTTTTTATCTATATGTTTTACTTGTTGTTTATTTATTGCATTTTATTGCTTTCCCTATTCTGTATATATGTTGTGATGGATTTTCTGGTTTTTCAGGTTGGGTGGGTGTTACTTTGAGGTAAAAGACCCAGTACCCAGGCCAGAGAAAAACACCTAGAAACATATAGGATTAGAATGGAGTCATGACGAATACTGGGTGCAAACCCTACTAGTGCGGTCATGTGTGCCACGCTCAGACGAGGTTCAAATAGGGTACTATCATTATCACATAGGTGTTACGATGGTAGTACTTTCACTCGAACTCATGACTCTGAGTTACCTTTTAACCTTACCCTGACCTAGACTTCACATGTCAGTGGAGTGTGAATTATTCTTATAAGTGCATATGTTGATCCTCATGGTGCTTGGTTCCTTTGTGTTCTGATTTGGTGACAAACCTATGATCCTGTTGCAGTGTTTTGAATTACATGACATTGCACATCATTTGCATCCTCTGCATCGTGCATACATCCAGGTTGCTTGGATCTCATTCCTAATTGTTCTTTCTTCAGTTATCTATCAACCATCGAGCTATTTCATCAATATAAGTATGGGATTAGAGCCAACTTCAGAAGAAGAATGGTAGACTAGAGTTCAAGATTTGATGAGGAAATTTTGTCCTTCAAAGATAAAGGTCCTAATGTCATCAACAATCCCTTCCAGGGGGATGACAAATGAAGCTTCAGTCAGAGCCATACTATCATCCTAAAGCCAGTATTTTAGACAAGACATCTCATCCTTGTTGTTGATTAGTCATTAGGCTATATTTCCTTCTGTTTACATTTTCCTTTATTTGTGTTAAGCTGCTGCTTTCAAATTTTATTTGTACTTTCATGTTAATTTTAATGAAATGAGCATTTCAATGTTTTGATTCAAATCATTTTCATTTACTGCTTTCAAATATATTTCTTTTGTTTACTTTCTTTATCAAGCTTTATTTATGCAAGATTGGAGGGAGGATGATGGAAATAGAATACCCGTGATTTTTGTTGGTATGCTTTAAAATAAAACTTGGTTGGTGATGTACATGAATTGTTTTAATTTCCAAACACTGGAGAAATAAGTAAGTTAATCGCTCGTCAACCCCTTTGAGCCTAGAAGTTATAGTTTCTTTCTATACAAAAAAACCCACAATCTTAACCTGGGGATAGGGTAGTTCTTAGTTAATTTGGCCATAAGATCTCTTTCAAGACTCATACTGGGGCAAGCCTTTCCCTCATTTATTTCCATAACTAAAGCCATGATCAGTTTATTCCCATCAACATTTGACTGAAGCCATGATCAATTTATCCTCAGCAATCAGCTAATCTAGGGCAATCCCCAAGCAACTCTCTTCAGTCCTTCCTCAAAGGATCATCATTTTGATACGGTTTACAAGTGTACCAAAAGTGTTTCCCAAAGCTTCTTCTTTCCAAGCAGAGTTAACGATGTTCCATGTGTTGAGGAATCAGAGTTCCAATCTTACCTCCATAAAAGAGTCAAGCTCAGTTGTCGTAAACATCTGCATTACATGCATATATCATGCATAGAAAATGTTCATATATCATGCATATCTTGAAGAGTGTTTCATGCTCATTTACATTTCCCGAGGTCTTGTTTCTATCAACATCTTACCTTGTGGTCAAAGTCCAACTTACTTGGTAACTAACAAAGCAAATACTTGCTTGTCTTCTCCCTTCAGTGCCATTCCTATATGGGGTGATTTACCTTTGCTTTCAATGTCATTCCTGATAGCCCCTTTCTCACTTTACTCAAACATTCCCTTACATCTTGTATTAGAAGTATCACTACGTTACAAGTTAACCCTTGTCTTGTATTGGATTTATTGCTACGTTACAAGTTTCTACATGTCCCCTTGTATTGACATTATTGCTACGTTACAAGTTAACCCTTGTCTTGTATTGGTATTATTGCTACGTTACAATTTTATACATGTCCCCTTGTATTAGCGTCATTTCTATGTTGCAAGTTATAAACTTTGTACTTGTATTAGCGCCATTGCTACATTGTAATTTATCACCTTTCGTATTGTATTAGCGTTATTGCTACATTACGAGTTAACCTTTGTCCTTGTATTAGAATTGTCGCTACGCTACGAGTTAACCTTTGTCCTTATATTAGCACTGTCGTTATGTTACGAGTTAACCTTTGTCCTTGTTTTAGCGTTATCACTATGTTACGAGTTAACCTTTGTCCTTGTATTAGCATCGTCGCTATGTTATGAGCTAACCTTTGTCCTTGTATTAGAATTATCGATACGTTGCAAGTTATCACCTTTGTTCTTGTTTTAGCATTATCACTATGTTACAAGTCAACCCTTATCTTGTATTGGCATTATTTCTACGTTGCAAGTTATCACCTTTTTCTTGTATTATCCTCATCTCTACGTTAAGAATTAACCTTAGTCCTTGTATTAGCATTGTCGCTACGTTACGAGTTAACCTTTGTCCTTATATTAATGTTGTGGCTACGTTACGAGTTAACCTTTATCCTTGTATTAGCATTGTCTCTATGTTACAAGTTAGCATTTGACCTAGTATTAGCGTTTTCGCTACGTTATAAGTTAACCTTTATCCTTGTATTAGCATTGTCACTACGTTACGAGTTAACATTTTTCCTTGTATTAGTGTTGTCACTATGTTCCGAGTTAACCTTTGTCCTTGTATTAGCGTTGTCGTTATGTTACGAGTTAACCTTTGTCCTTGTATTGGCGTTATCGCTATGTTACAAGCTCCTAAAACTTTTCTACCGGAAAAAACAGATTTCACTCCCCAATAGAGTTATTATTTTCATGATAGTCTCTAATGTATCTTCAGATTTGGTCTCATTCTGCTCTATTGCTTCTCTAAATATTTCTAATGTATTTCCTAGAGAGGCTCTTGTCTCATTCAATGCCAATATTGGATGCCATTAATATCTTTGTTTCCCCAATGTGTCTTCCCACGTCATATCATTCAACTACCACAAATTACCAATTTTGAGTCTTTCTAATATATATATAAAGTCATGCATTTATCGCATTCTCTTCACACTTCATTCGCCTCATACCTATTGCATCTCAACGCAAACTTTCGGGTTCTTTGATATTTAATCATCTCCCACTATGATAATATGAAGCTTGATCATCTTCATATCATATGGTCAAATATATTTAAATAGGGGCAGTTGTTGCACCCCAAATTTTTTCCTGAGTTTCTCATTCGCATTCATATATCGAATTAATTTTATTCGCATATTTGCATTTTGTTTTCGATTTTTAATTTTTGTCCATATATATATATATATATATATATATATATATATATATATATATATATATATATATATATATATATATATATATATATATATATATATATATATATATATATATATATATATATATATATATTCTCCTTTTGCCTTTAGATAAATAATAATTTGATTTTATTTATTTATTTTATTTTATTATTATCTTTTAATCAGAATTATTAAAAAAATATGTAAAAAAATATAGGTGGTTTATTTATTTGTTTACTGAAAATTGAGTTTTAATTTTCAAATTTCATAAAGAAAATGTATTTCAGAATTTGTTTGTTTATATTTGTTTTTAGATTTAAATTAGAAATATCTCAACAAGGGGTCTCTTTGGTCTTTGTACAAGACCTAAGTGCATTTTAGATAAGGTTTGCGTGTTTGTTATAAGTTGGCAGGATCGATATAAGAAGAGGAGAGAGTTGCACATCAGAAAGGGAGAGAAGCACAAATATTCTTTATCTCTCTCAATATTCTGTTCTACAACCACCATACATCTCCCTTCTCCCACCGCCTAACATCTCATAACCTCACTTCTCCAGTTTCCAAACTCCCTCGGTCTCAGCTTCCCAGCTCTGTGAATCTATGGTCCGCAACTCTTGTAACCACACCTTTCTTCCTCTTCTTTTCCGCGAGCGAGTCACAAACCCAGCAATATCACTGGTTTTCCCTTCAACTTCCTCGCGACCAAACTCCAAGTCCCTCTGTATTTATAACCTGCATGCAGTTCACATACTCCCATCACCATCATACAACAACCTTCCACTCTCCAACAATAACAACTAATCTCACCATCATCAAGCACAACACAACTCTCACTTGTTCGATAATTCTTTGGTTCTATTTTTTGTTGTTTCAACTACGCTGCTATGAGTAAATGTAGTGATAATTGTTATGAAAAAACTTTTATTTGTATTGTTTATTAATCTGTGAAAATTTCGATTCGATGATGTTATTCCTTTTGATTTGAAATGATATGTTATTGAAAATTTCTAAAAAGAATGCTTGACAGTGTGAGCTTAAGATATGTCGGAATATGATAAGAAATTTGTATTGATTACACTTTGTTGGTGTATTTTGAAGTTGTTTGGATTCACACCATGTTAGTATGCTTTTGTTTTACTTTTGATTGAAGTTGTGATTACTTGACTTTGAATGTGTTTAGAACAATGAATGCCATGCTGATTTTTGCTATTTACATTGAATAATAACATGTTTTCTTGGTTCTTGATTGAGAAATATTTATTTGTTCATGCAATTGGATTCAAGTTTCATTTGGTTTACAATTTCTCTTGTGATTACTAACTTGTCTATTGTTTGTGAAGGCTTTCAAGATAGCTCATATGTTCACTTCATCTTGACACCACTTTGTTGCTTTTAGTTATTTAACTAAAAGTCGATTTAGTTGTTTAATTTCGTTATTAAAAATTAATTAGTTTCGTCTAATTAATTTTTTTCTTAACTTAGTTAATTAACTTAATCAACTTTTAAGTTAATTAATTAAGCATCCATTTCATATTTTATTTGTTTCATTTAGCTCTGATACAGGTTCCTAATCCACTCGGACTTGATTCTTTATTTCACATGAGACTTCAGATGATTTCTATGCTATCCTGACTTTGTCTGTTTGTTGGGAATTTCATCTGATACAAGGATTCTTATCCGACACATTGAGCTTTATCTGATGCTTTGAGTTTTATCTAACTCCTTGGGTTTCTATGATTATGTCTGCTTGTGATTTATTTTCACCTGATTTTTGGTACTCTTAGCTTATTTATCTATTTGTGGCTTTAATCAAAAGGGATGGGAACAGTGTATCGAATTTTTTATGTCAAGTATTTTCTTTTTATTTGGTTAGAATGTTCTTTAACTACCTTTTACTTTCATGTACATAGGATACTCTCTTCATTTCCTCCCATTCTTCAATTTTGAAAACCTTCTCATATTTTTTTTCAAAATCTTCTTTGTTTTCTAAATTTTAACCGCTTTCATAATAAATCTTGACTTTGTCAAGCGACTTTTTTCTCAAACTTCTTTTTATTTATCAAAACTCAAAACACTTAATAAATAAAGATGTGAATCATATGCAGTTGAGTCTTTTAGGGTAGGATGAGGCGGTAGAGACTGAACCTTGTTCTTTCTTCCATTTCCGAACTTTATTACGATTTAATTCGCAAATATTTTCACAAATAAGTGGAGAAGTAGTAAGTGTTCCTCCCGTGGAATCTATTTGCTATTATCCCAACAAAAATACTTCAACTTAGTCAAACCTTTGTGTTCCTCTCACACCTTTTACCTGTAAAACCTTTTTCAAGATTTGACATGAGTCATTCATAGTCGAGATTTTATTTTCCTATCCTCGTGGTTGTAAAGATGTCGACTTTAAAATCTTCAGAACCTTAGAGCAAGAGAGCTTGGAATCTTCAGAGCTTGAGAACCCATCAAAAGCTATAATATAGAGTCACGGTTAGAAGCAATAAAACTAACAAGACTACCCTCGTGTCGTTTATCCTCTAGATAGTGATAAACGCACAAACTTTTCAATCATCTATCCTAAGTTGTGGTAGATGTGCGAATTAACAGGTTTATGTTATTCATTCTCTAGGTTGTAATGAATACATAAGTCTATCTTAGTGTCGTTTATCCTCTAGATCGTGATAAACACACAAACTCTTCAATTATCTATCCTCTAGGTTATGATTGGTATGCGATTTTTCAAGGTTATATTGTTCATCCTCTAGGTCGTGATGAAGACATAAACCTATCCTCGTGTCATTTATCCTCTAGGTCGTGATAAATGCACACATTCATCCTCATATTATTTACTCTCTACGTTATAGTAAATATATGAAATCTGTGATATAATTTATTGTGTTAGTCTCCATGCGGCAATGTATTATCAAGCTATGTTTTATTCATCCCCTAGGTTGTGATGAATAGACAAAATCTATGTCATAAGCTTACTATGTTAGTCTCGAAGCATTAGTAAGTCAATTTTCAAACTTGTGTTATTTATCTCCTAGGATATGGTAAATACGCGAAAAATCTATGATCTCTTTTAGATATTGACGAGTTATCCGTGTCTCCATATCTAAGTCAATCTAAACCTATTGATCAAACTCTAGTAAGATGATACATCACCATCTATGCCTATTTTTCACGATCTTGGAAATGTTGTACAGTGTATCCTTATAATCTTTTGGACAAATTTTGGGGTCTTACATTATTTAATAAACCTCCTGTTCGAATGTGCGAGACCTGCATATTCTCGCACTCCTCAATCGAAGGATAATTAAATTGGGGCAACTGTCATACCCCAAATTTGCCCTATTGATTCCTAAACAGATTATTCCTCATTGTTATTAATTTCTAGTGTTATCATAATATAAAGTTTAGATCATCATTGTCTAGTTCAAAACTGTTTACATGTTATAGGGTTTAAATTTATAAAGGGGTGTATTGTTTCAAACTAGACCATCAAAATCTGATGGCCCATTAAGATGGTTCTTACAATTATAGAGGGGGGGGGGGGGGGGGTGCATTCGTTGTTTATATCTCAGCCCATTAAAAATTGGAGAATAAAGGGGGGGGGGGGGGGGGGGGGGGTTGGTATACAGAAGGGTGTCTTGCTGATGGCCCATTAAAGGCTAGTTAGGATAACAAGGGGGTAAATTATTTGTTTCGATTACAGCCCATTAAAGGTTTGTTAAATAGAAAGAGGGGTGTGTTGGTTACAAAGAGGGGTGTGTGTTGGAATGTCAATGGCCCATTAACATTTCTTTCAGGCCCATTGGTTTTTCTTTCAAAAGTTGACAGAGTCAATTGATTCTTATCATTATTATTATCATTAATATAGTATTATTATTTTTATTATTCTTAATTACATTTATATTATTATAACTAATATTATTATTTTATTAACAAATATTATTATTTTTCGTGTTTTGAATTGTTGACCGAAGTCAACCCAAGGGGTTGGAAACCCTAATGCATTGAGGCGGCCATGTTCCTCGTCAACAATGCCCAAGCCCATAATCAAAGATTTCTAGGAGCTAATCAAAACCAAATTACATCAATAATCTAATCAAATATTTCAATTTACTAACATAATAAAATCTTATTTAATGAATTTTCCAAATACATTGATGAATACGAAAACCCTAAGATTTCAGTCTCTAATTTCTAATTGAATCAATGAGATTCTTCTAAAACCTAATCTTTTAATCAATCTTAAATTAACAAATTGTAACAACAATCCAATAAAAAAACTTTCCTAATCTATCTAAATTCCTAACCTATAAATAAACCTAGAAATTCTAAGAGAAATGGAGGGAGAAAATTGATTGACAAACAAAGAACGAAAGAAGAAGGAGAGTTGAGATATGGATTTGAACTTCTGAAACCATAGATCGGTGGTGTTACATCCATGTGATCTTCAAGTCATCCCTGTCGTCGTGCCATTTTTGCACCTACAAGCAGAAGAAAAAAGAGGAGATCAGCAGAAGCATAGAAAGAAGACGAAGGAGAATTAACATAAACGAGAAGATTCACGGCAAAGATCAAGTAAGCCTGACACTTAGCTTAGGTTGTTTAAATTACGATTGTTAATGTTTGTGATCGCATAATTGAAGGTTAGATTGATGTTTTCAAGGAAATTTGGGGTTTAGGGTTAGGTGTTAGGGTTCTTAGGTTTTAGGGTTAGGGTTCTTGGGGTTTGTATGAACATAAGGTTAGGGTTCCTATGGTTCGTACTAGGGTTTTAAGTTCTGGGTTTGGGATGAAGATTCATGTTGAATATCAACCAGAATTATGGGTTTTACAGTGGTTTTTAGGTGATTTACGATGGTTGGCACGACCAAGGCGATTTCCAGTGGGTTGTTTTCTAGACAGAGGTCAGAGCCTCTCTCTCTAGAAATTTGTGTGGTGAAGAAAGAAGACAGAGAGAGCGAGAGAGAGAGAGGCGAGAATGAAAAATGAAGAGAAAAACAAAAATATAACTCCCTCACAATCCTGTATACTTTTCATGCCATGCACCCTCGCCCCACAACCACTTGATCTTCATCCAACGACCCAATCCCGCGTGCTCACTGTCATACCATACGCCTTCCCACACATGGTCCAAACAGACCTCCCAGTATTCAGCATTGGGCCAAGCCCATTCTTAATCGCACCTCCCTGTGTTTTTATTTTTTCTACTACGTTCAAAACAACACCCCTCAAGCGTCTGGGCCTTCCAAACAGATTCTGGGCTTAAGCCCTTACTTCCTACACCCCTAGTTTTGCTACCTAAATCAAATATTCACCACTCCCTGCGATTTGGGCCTAAATCCAATATCTAGATTTAGGGCCTTGTTATTCACACCCCCAACCATTTACTACTCAAATAATTTTTCACCCCCTTGCATTTTTAATAAAATTAATTTTTATATTTTCATTTATTTATTTATAATCATTTTATATAATTAATATTTTTAATATTTAATGTATAATATTTAATAAATTCTAAAAAAGTTTATTTCTTAATTCAAATTATTATTTTTAAATACTAACTCTTTTTTTAATATTTTAATTGCATTAAATTCTTTTTTTCTCATGTATTAAAATATATTTTTCTCACATTGCATTATTTTTTCGAAAACAACTAACCAATCAAATAATAACTGCTTTTTTACAAACATAACTTCAAACTTATATACATTTTCAAAAAGGATTATGGAAATATCTTTTATCGACTGCGAACTTCGTCTACAACCCTGCAATTTACAAACCCATACTTGGTTCAGGGAGAATTCGAGATATTTCTATAATCCATAAAAAATATCAATCAACAACTACGAACTACGAATTGGGACTTTGATTCCTCATAAGAGGATACGT